ATGTGTGATTTGGGGTACAAGAGAGCAGTAGCATAAGGATTTTGGAGACTATAGAAACCACAGCAATGGAGAAGAGTTCTACAGAAGCTGCACCTGAGCACTCTCACTCTTTACCTGGAAGTTCAGCTGAAAGATATGAGGGGCCGCACAAAATGAGCTCTTCTAAGAATGAGAGGAAGATGACAGGTTTTCAAACTAAGGCGACATGAATGGGAGTGACCAAAGAACTCAGCATTAGGACGGTGATACCTCCAGCCTTGAAAATTTCTTTTACGCCAATTCTCACTCAAAATTAATTTTACGTATCCAATGGAAAAGAGACATTAGCCACCCTCCCTACAGATTGGACGGTAGCTATTGCCACTCCAATATTCAAAAAGGGAAGTAGAGAGAAAACAGAGAATTATAGACCAGTAAGCCTAACATCGGCAGTGGGGAAAATTCTCGAATCCATTATCAAGGACTTGATAGCGGAGCATTTAGAAAGCAGTGGCAGGATCAGACAGAGTCAGCATGGATTTATGAAGGGGAAATCATGCTTGACAAATCTGTTGGAATTCTATGAAGATATAACAAGTAGAGTTGACAAGGGGGAGCCAGACGATGTGGTATATTTGGACTTCAGAAAGCGTTTGACAAAGTCCCACGTAAGATATTACTGTGCAAGATTAAAGCGCATTGGGTTGAGGGAAGTGAATTGAGAGGGATAGAAAGCTGATTGGCAGACAGGAAACAAAGAGTAGGAATTAATGGGTCCTTTTCAAACTGGCAGGCAGTAACTAGTGGGATGCCACAGGGATTGGTGCTGGGACCCCAGCTATTCCCAATATATGTTAATGATTTGGATGAGGGAACAAAATGTAATATCTCAAAGTTTGCAGATGATACCAAGTTGGGTGGGAGGGTGAACTGTGACGAAGATGCAGAGATCCTTCAGCATGATTTCAACAGGTTGGGTGAATGGGCAAATCAATGGCAGATGCAGTATAATTTGGATAAATATGAAGTTATTCACTTTGAAAGCAAAAACAAGAAGGCAGATTACTACCTGAATGGCTGTGAATTGGGAGAAGGGAGTGTGCAGTGGGACCTGGGTGTCCTTGTGCACCAGTTGCTGAAGGTAAGCATGCAGGTGCAGCAGGCAGTAAAGAACGCAAATGGTATGTTGGCCTTCATTGCGAGTGGTTTTGAGTACAGGGCAGTTGCAGTTGTACAGGGCCTTAGTGAGACCACACCTGGAATATTGTGTGTAATTTTGGTCTCCTTTTCAGAGGAAGGATGATCTTGCTCGAGGGAGTGCTGCAAAGATTTACCAGGCTGATTCCAGGGATGGCGGGTCTGACGTATGTGGAGAGATGGACTAGGTTGGGATTCGTTTTGCTAGAGTTCAGACAAATGAGGGGGGATCTCTTAATGACTTATAAAATTTTAACAGGACTAGACAGAGTGGATGCAGGGAAGATGTTCCTGATGGAAGGTGTGTCCAGAACCAGGGGTCACAGTCTGAGAATTTGGAGTAGACCATTTAGGACGGAAGTGAAGAGACATTTCTTCACCTAAAGAGTGGTGAGCCTGTGGTATTCACTACCACAGGAAGTAGTTGATGCCAAAACATTGAACATATTCAAGAGGTGGCTAGATATAGCACTTGGAGCGAATGGGATCAAAGGTTATGGGGAGAAAGCAGGATTAGGCTATTGAGTTGGACGATCAGCCACGATCATGAAGAATGGCAGAGCAGGCTCGAAAGGCCGAATGGCCTCCTCCTGCTCCTATCTTCTATGTTTCTATGAACTCCTAGATCCATTATTTTCTTTGACTTCCTTTAAAAAAGTCTGCTATTCTCAAATCTATCATTTGACATACTAATTTCTCATCAATTCTTTGGAATGTCGCATCTCCCAGATGTATAAACATTGTAGTAAAACTCAAACCAAATAGCAACAGACAATGTATCTGCCTCAGTCAGTTGTGAACAAAAGAAACCACTGAAAGTCATTGTGGCTGAAATGGTGCAAACAGTCCCACAGTTGTCCCCTATAACACATGATGGTTTTGACAAAAGATATCAAAACCCTCTTGGTTTGAATTAGCCTATCCAGGAATCTTGCCACATAACTGAAATTTCTAGCTTCTGAACAGCTTTAATTCTACAGCTCTGAACTCTTCTCACAGACTGCGTTTTTAATATTTAAATGACAAGAAGCAGCTCGAGTTTCAGCTAAAGCCCGACTCTGGTGTCAACCTCTTTGGAATCCTGATTTCCAGAAAGAAAGCTTCTCCATTGAAAAATGAACTAATGGCCAGTGTACAGGAATCATAATACTACACCTTCAAATGCAACCAAGCTCTGTCAGATCAACGAACTACAAGAAACTTCACTGAATATAAGGCTATAAGACCGTAAGACATAGGACCAGAAGTTAGGCCATTCAGTCCATCGAATCTGCTCCACCATTCAATCATGGCTGATAAGTTCCACAACCTCATTCTCCTGCTTTTCCCCGTAACCCTTGATCCCCTTGAAAATCAGGAACCTATCAACCTCCATCTTAAATATACTCAATGACTTGGCTTCCACAGCCTTCTGTGGCAGTGAATTCCATAGATTCACCACTCTCTGGCTAAAAAAGGTTTCTCCTTATCTCCATTCTAAAAGGTCTTCCCTTTACTCTAAGGCTGTGCACTCAGGTCCTAGTCTCTCCTACCAATGGAAAAATCTTCCCAACATACACTCTGTCCAAGCCATTCAGTATATTGTAAGTTTCAATTATATACCCCCTCATCCTTCTAAACTCCATTGAGTATAGACCTAGAGTGCTCAAATGTTCCTCATATGTTAAGGTTTTCATTCCTGGGACCATTCTCGTGAACCTCCTCTGAACCCGATCTAGGGTCATTACATCTTTCCTGAAATATGGAGCACAAAACTGCACACAATACTCCAAATGTGGTCTGACCAGAGCCTTATAGAGCCTCAGAAGTACATCCCCGCTTTTATATTCAAGTCTTCTCAAAATAAATGCCAAAGTTGCATCTGCCTTCCTAACTACTGACTCAACCTGCAAGTTTACCTTGAGAGGATCCTGGACTAGAACTTCCAAGTCTCTTTGCACTCCAGACTTTTGAATTTTCTCCTCATTTACAATATAGTTCATACCTCTATTCTGCTAATCAAAGTGCATAACCTCACACTTTCCCCGTTGTATTCCATTTGATTCAAATATTGATTCATGTGAATTAATGCCCATTATTTTAAAAAAGAAGTCATAATTGAAATTGGTCTCTTTTTTAATTTCCTTTTCTTCTGTTTCTTCCTTAAATGATTTCATGTTGTGAAAATGCATCTCCTCGGTTTGGATACCTGAATAAAGCTTTCCTTTGTTTTAACATTAAAGATAGTTTATTGTGGATCATTCAAAAATTGGACTTCATAAACAGAAGATTTGAAGATAACACCATGGCCTATTTTGCAAGGGAAAACAAAATTATATATAAAAAAAATAATCACTCTGTTATGAACAGAGCTGGCAGACCATAAAATAATTCAATTCACCCTTCCCTCTTGTCCATGGCATTTAAAAAGCATCCTCACACTCCCCTTTGGACTGCCTCAATATTCCTTCTGCAAGACAGAGACCAAAACTGAACTTAATGCTTCCAAGGCAGTCTCAACAAGGTTAGACACAGATTGAAAATCAACTTCTTTTGCTCATAAAACACATTTGTAAACAAACATTCCAACATTTTCCTTCCTTCATTGGTGTAAACATGAGTCAATTGTTTTAATGACTGAGCTACAAACCCATTACAACTCTTTTCAATACAATGTTAATCCCATTAAATCAGAAAATAAAATTACTAGACAAAAAAAAGGTTCACTTCATTTACCTTTTACCAACCTTGTATTAGCATGACAGAATAATTATCAAGTCTGACTAATCATAGCAATCAATGTTGTGCTCAACACTTTCAAACTTCATGGCTTTGTAATAACTTGAGTTAAAACTCCAGCTTCCAGCTTTTCTCTTTTCTGCTTATTGCACCCGATTAGCATCATTAGCCAACACAACTTTGTTGGCATCATCTACAAAATGAAGATATTAAAACCACATCCTCTGAGTCATTCATTTAAATTATAAGCAACAGGACCTGCTGACACTAACTCAGTGGTACTCTACTTACAACCGACCTGCTCTGACAACAGTCCACACGTTGTGATTTCTTTTGTCTACTTTTCAGGCATTCTTCAATTCATTAACAATATTTCATCTATTCTGAGCATACATCTCGTAAATTAGATTGTAAATGAGATGTGCAAATGCTTCTTGAAAACTTATGTAGATTCATGACATTTATAAGCTTTGTCATTAACTTAAAAGCATCCAACAGATTGGTGAAACACAAGCTACCCTTTATCGATCCATATCCAGTCTCTCCGATTATCTGATTTCACCAGATGATTCCTTACACTATTCCTGATCAAAGTCTAAACACTTTCCTTACAATTGACGTAATACTCATGAGTTTGTACCTGCAATTTTCTCAGACACCTCTACTTGCAGGGTAAATGTCAGACCTTGAAGATTTACCTTAAATTTTCTTTTGTTATCTAATATGTCTTTTGGTCTAATGATCATGTTAAGTCTCTAGCCCTAGGTATCCATTTACTAACCACTGGAAGCAATTATTCACCATTTACATGCCCTCCCCAATCTTTCATAAACTCAAAAATAGCTCATTTTGTGGGTATAGATTTAATTTTTCACTGTCCGTATAGCTTCGGCACAGAGAAGCCTTTCAAAGTTGTGCACAGATGTTGTGCAGATGTTATACATCGGATGGGTTAAGAAACAGCAGCCAATCTAAATTACAGTAAAAGCTCTCACATTTATGTCATGAACATGATTACAGGAACCAAAAGAATTTGGATGGCATCTTCCCTATAAAAATGTCAGCTCTTTGTGAATTTCAATTAATCAGCACAAAATGATACTCACGTTTGCAAGATCGGCCATCACCCTGCATTTTCCGTGGGCAACTTCCACATTTGTAAGATCCAAAATTATTGAAACAAAGGACTCCAGGAAAACATGCAGCCTTTTTGCATTCGTTAACATCTTCTTGACACACAAATCCTGCAATACAATGTAGAACAAATCAGCAAGGGAGTATTTGACATAAAAGAAGAAAAAAATCACGAGTTATCATTTCTGCACTGACACAAACTTATTGAAGTCAGTTACTTGGCTTGAATAATTAATCAGATTTGCTGGGAAATACATTGTATGTTTACCAGTATTCAAAACATGGAAAAAAAAATGGATTTATGTATTTTTCACTTATTTTGTTTGCATTCTATCATAACTCTGGTACTGAGAGGGTTTTTCATTTTTGTGAAATTCAAAATATTTTGGATGATGAAAATCTGAAACAAAAACAAAAATTGCTGTGTATACTCTCCACCAGTTTGTCTCCATTGTTATATTTGGTTAGGTCTTCGTTTTTCTCGTCCCCTATACTTTACCCAAGTATCACCTTATCATTAGTGATTATAATCTTCCTCTCAATTCCATTTCTTATCCCTTCTGATATCCCACATCAAGAATCTCAGTCTGTTCTTTGCAGTTTTGCTACTCCAGAAACAGAGCATCCCTTCTCATTGTCTTTCTGTTTTTGATTTGATTTGATTTATTATTGTCACATGTGAGAAGTATTGTTCTGTATGCTAACCAGACAAATCATACCTTACATAAGTACATCAGGGTAATAGAACAGAATGCAGAAGACAGCTACAGCATGACAGAAAAAGTACAGAGAAGATCAACTCAAATATATGAAAGGTCTGTACTTAAGTCTGATAACAGAGGGGAAGAAGCTGTTTTGAATCTGTTGGTCCATGTTTTCAAACTTTTGTACCTTCTGCCTGATGGATGAGGATGGAAGAGAGTATAACCAGGGTGGGAGAGGTCTTTGATTGTGTTGGCTGCTTTCCTGAGATAGCAGGAAGTGTAGACGGAGTCAATGAAAGGAAGGCTGGTTTTTGTGATGGACTGGGCTGCATTCACAAATCTCTAAGTTCTTGTGGTCTTGGGCAGGGCAGTTGCCATATCAAGCTGTGATGCATTCGCACAGGAAGCTTTCAATGGTGATCTACAAAAATTGGTAAGTCTACTAAATCCTCCTTAGATTTCTGAGGAAATAAAGGCACCGGTGTACTTCTTGACTATAGCATCGATGTAGATGGACCAAGTTAAATTATTGGTAACATTTAGTCCTAGGAACTTGAAGCTCTCAACCACCTCGACCTCAGCATTGATACAGACAGGGATGTGTTCGCCACTCTACTTCCTGAAGTCGATGACCAGTTCCTTTGCTTTGCTGACATTATGGAAGAGATTGTTATCTTTACACCAGGTCACTAAGCTCTCTATCTCCTTCTTGTACTTTATCTCATTGTTGTTTGAATCACTGAATCTCCCACTATCAACATCCTGGGGGTTATCATTCACCGGAAACTCAACCGGACTCATCACTAAACACATTGGCTACAACAGCAGGCCAGAAGCTAAGAATATTGCGGTGAGTAACACACATCCTGACTCACCAAAGCCTGGTCAACCAGCTACAAGGCACAAGGAGTGTGATGGAATACTCCCCACTTGCCTGGATGAGTGCAGCCCCAACAACACTCAAGAAGCTTGACACAATCCAGGACAAAGCAGCCCGCTTGATTGGCACTACATCCACAAGCATCCACTCCCTTCACCACCGACGCTCAGTAGCACCAATCTGTCCAATCTACAAGATGCATTGCAGAAATCCACCAAAGATCCTCAGACAGCACCTTCCAAACCCAAGACCACTTCCACCTACAAAGGACAACGGCATCAGATATATGGGAACAGCATCACCTTCAAATCCCCCCCAAAGCCACTCACCATCCTGACTTGGAAATATATCACAGTTCCTTCACTGTCAATGGGTCAATATCCTGGAATTCCCTCCCTAATAGCATTGTGGGTCAACCCACAGCAGGTGGTGTGCAGCAGTTCAAGAAGGCAGCTCACCACCACCTTCTCAAGGGCAACTAGAGACGGGCAATAAAAATGTGGCCAGCCAGCGATGCCCACATCCTACAAAATGAATAAATGAATAAATAAATCGAACCCACTATGGTAGTGTCATCTGCAAATTTGTAAATGGAGTCAGAGCTGAATTTGGCCACACAGTCAGGAGTGTATAAGAGGTATACTAAGGGGCTGAGTGTTCAGCCTTGCGGGACAGTGGGGTTGAGGGTTATTGTGGTGGAGGAGGTGCTGTTGCCTATCCTTTCTGATTGTGGTCTGCGGGTCAGGAAGTTGAGGATCCAATTGCAGAGGGGGAAGCAGAGTCCCAGGTCTCGTAGTTTGGAGATGAGTTTTGTTGGAATTATGCTGTTGAAGGCAGAGCTAAAGTTAATAAATAGGAGCCTGAAGTAGATGTCCTTGTTATGCAGATGTTCCAGGGATTAGTGTAGGTCCAGGGAGATGGCATCTGCCATGGATCTAATAGGTGAATTGTGGAGGATCAAGGCAACCTGGGAGGCTGGAGTTGATGTGTACTATTACTAACCTCTCAAAGAACTTCATAGTAATGGATGTCAGAGACACTGGGTGAGGCAGTAGTCATTAAGGCATGTCGCCTGATTTTTCTTTGGCACCAGGATGATAGTGGTCTTCTTGAAACAGGGGGGAATCTTACATTGTAGTAAGGAGATGTTAAAGATGTCTGCAATTGACGCTCAAAATCTGAGTGCATGGCTGGGGACTCCAAACAGGCCAATCATTTTCCGTGGGTGTACTTTCAAGAAGGTCGATCTGCTGTCTGTGATGGTAACTGTGGGTACAGGTGTACCTGAGGTTGACAGGCAAGTGACATTATTTCAATATCACTGCCCGAGTCTTCAGCAATCTTAGCTTTGCTGCTTGCAACTTGTCCATTAAACCCTTTTTGTTGCTTTTAAAAGGTCACTATAAAACATTTAATAATGCTTTTAATTATCTCTCCTCAATATCCTCTACTACTTGTAATTTGTTTCTTCGTTATGATAATGTCTTCATTGTTTGAGATGCTATCTAAAATTGAACTGATGGTTATTGTGGTCCAGGAATAACTGAGTATTCCCTCTAAGTTCCCAGTATACTTTGTCATCATTCATTCTAATAATCAAAACAGAGCTGATTCAGAGCAGAGATGAACACAGCAGGCCAAGCATTTCTGAAGAAGGGTCCAGACCCGAAAAGTCAGCTTTCCTGCTCCTCTGATGCTGCTTGGCCTGCTGTGTTCTTCCAGCTCTACACCTTGTTATCTCAGATTCTCCAGCATCTGCAGTTCCTACTATCCCTGATTCAGAGCAGTATTTTTCTTGAAAATAACTTGTCTAAAATGACAGTTATCAAAACATAACAACTTAAAAAAAAACTTATCACTTAGAATTACCAATTTTGAAAGAAACTCAAACTGGCAAGGACTTGCAACAAATGCAAAAAACTGTCCTGTAATTACCAGGGACACTGAAAGGACTTCCAGCACACAGTGCACGTTATTGCTAAACCGTTCATGTTTTTTTCCCAATACAAATTACTCCCAAGTTACTGTGCAATCTTCTCACATTGACAAGACCATGCTATGCACAATTAACTTCCACTTCTGATGCTGATGCTGTCAGCAGAGATCAGTTAACTTGGCCCAGGTTCTGTTCAGTGGAATTCCTGGTATGGCTCCACAAAAGTGGAGGCAATCATCCCTTAATAATGTATGAGGTGCACACTTCACAATAGTTTCTGCTCAAAATAACTAATGACATTATAACTGATTATGAGTTATTGCAATGGTTTGCACCACTTATCCAATTTAAACATGAGCAGTTTAAGTGCTAAAACTGCATTTTATATTTTATAAATTTCCTATCGTGCATTATTTCCATTACCTATAGCAGCCTTTCCCAAACCTTTGCAGCTTGTGGCACACTTTCAATGTCCTGTACTTCTCACAGCACACCAAGTCATTTTAAAATAATCAGCATTAACATTGCAAGAAATAACATCTATTTTGAACAGAAACTACAATATTAATGAGAAGCATTTTACTTCACTTGATTTGACTAGAATTTCAATGTGAAATGTGAGGCTGTAATCAACTAATTTAACTGTTTAAGATTTGGTTCAATGCTATAAAAAGCCACACAAAGCTCCTGATCCATACTTTTCAAACACAATCCCTCCTGAATAGAGTCATAGAGCTGTACAGCATTGAAATAGACCCTTCGGTCCAACAAGTCCATGTCAATCATATATCCTAAATTAATTTAGGTCTACTTGCCAGCATTTGGCCCGTATCCCTCTAAACCCTTCCTATTCATATATCCATTCAAATGCCTTTTAAATGTTGTAATTGTACCAGCCTCCGCCACTTCCTCTGGCAGCTCATTCCATGTACGCATCACCCTTTGCAAGAAGAAGTTGACACTTAGGTCCCTTTTAAATCTTGCCCCTCTCACCTTAAGCCTACGGCCTCTAGTTTTGGACTCCCCCACCCTTGGAAAAAGACCTTGGCTATTCACCCTATCTATGCCTCTCATGATTTTATAAACCTTTGTAAGGTCATCCCTCACCCTCCAAGATTCCAGGGAAAACAGCCACACCCTATGCAACTTCTCCCTATAGCTCAAACCTTCCAACCCTGGCAACATCCTTGTAAACCCTCCAACCCTGGCAACATCCTTGTAAACCTTTGCTAAACATTTTCAAGTTTCACAATATCCTTCTGAAAGCAGGGAGACCAGAATTGCAGGCAGTATTTCAAAAGTGGCTAAAGCAATGTCTTGAGAAAGGACAGGGAAGAGAACAAATTTCACAAAGGTAGATGAATGAAAATGACAGCAGAACAAGTGTTGCTTGATTTGTGATCAAGGGATATTCATTTCCCACCTGTTGCTCAAATTGATCCAATAGAATCTCTACAAATTGGTGTTTGAGGGTGCAATCACTCTTCAGATCCAGGAATTCCTCCTTTGTGCTTCAAAGAGAAGCTCACAGTTGATTTTTCATATTGTACATTGGACATAAAGCCTTTCACATTCCCTGTCATTGCAGCT